AGTTCTGCTCAGGGAAGGCCTGTAGTTCTGCTCAGGGAAGGCCTGTTGTTCTGCTGGCTAGGGAAGGCCTGTTGTTCTGCTGGCTAGGGAAGGCCCCGTGTTTCACTCACTTGCTCACTTGCAGGCTCGGGAAGGCTGGGTGTTCCTCAAGAGCTCCCTGCGTGTTGACCACAGTCTTCACCAGTTTCAGCCTTGCCTGTGTCAGTGCACAAAGCCGGGGTTCATTGGCTTTGCACCTGGCTCCCCTGTATTGGTGGCACTGGGATCCCTCTCTGCTAACTTGTTTAGTATCTTTTATATGTTGAAGAGATGGATCCAAAATCCCCCCTAGTTCTGTAGCTCTCCGATTTCCATTCTGCCTCTGATCCTGCCTCAGCACCCGAGGTGAGAGTTACCTGAGACCTCAGAGTGGTGGGCATCTTCTGAGTGAGGGCCCTGCAACACTGACACTTACTTCTGGGCCATGGTTCCATTTCTGTCTGAGACAGTAAGTCCAGTGGGTGCTTACTGGGCAGTGGAGTGGCCCCTGCCAGACCACCTCCCATGGGCAGCTGACATCGACCTGAAGACCCAACATTAAGAGGTAGTGTCCCCTCGCACTGCCCTCTCAACTGAGGCCCCCAGACCCAGTCCTCCCTCCATCATCTGTCTGTCAGTCTCTGGCAGGTACTGAGGTGCTTTTGCCAGAGGCCATCACAAAGTTGCCCATGAGGCATCAGGCGGATTGAATCTCTATGCTGTTCTCCCTGGATTTATTTGTATTGTTATGTTTTGGGTTTTTAAAATTATTTTTGTGTGAGTGTACCATCAAAGCAAATCTGACTGGTACAGGAGGAGATTGTCCCTCCTTTCCCAGCGGAGCATCTGGTGGATTCGTGTATTGTTATGTTTTGATTACATTTTTTTGTAATATATGCAGAACAGATTATCTGGGAGGCTGGGCTCTATGAGGAGAAATGTGGGGTCAAGATTGGTGGATGATTTATCAACAATCTGCGTTAT